GAAGGAAGGAAGGAAGGAAGGAAGGAAGGAAGGAAGGAAGGAAGGAAGGAAGAAAGAAAGAATCAATCCAAGGATGCTTATAAGCAAAAATGGCTTTAAAAAGCTTATTTATAGTAACCAGGGTAGTGTGGACATCATTTCCAGCTCTGCAAAGAACAGTCCCAGTGACCTTGATGCATTAAAGACAAAGGAGGAGAGACAAGAAGCAGTTTTAAAATACAAGCTGGATGGTAAATCGGGAAAGAAAGGAGGGAGGGGAGGAAGGAAGAAAAGAAGGAAAGTGTAGAGAAAGTGAGAAATGAGGTTTTGTTCATATGTTTTAATGTGGAGCATCCCCAAAAAAGAAAAGAAAAAAAACCCAAGTTGTTCAATTTGTTCATCTCATCGCTATTCAGAGGAGCCTCTAAAATACAGCCATTTATTTGCAGTTCATTTCACTGATATCGCATGGACCTGCTCTTAATGGCTTTACGTGGTTCCCTTTTTAAAGCTTTGGGGGGGGGGCTTTCTCTGAGGATTCCCTTCTTCCATCGTTCTTAGGGGTTCAAATAACGCAATTAAAGAATGCAATGTATTATTTACATTAATTGTATTGGATGTATGTTCTAGTCCCGCTTGGAAGATGCCTGATGCATTGCAAGCGCGGCGTTCCGTTGATTTTTTTCCAACTCTCAGACAAAGCAGCAGCCGAAACTTGTTGGGACTCAGTTATAATAAAGCCTCCTTTGCACCAACTCTCCTCCTCTGAGAAATGATTCAGCTGGAACTAGGAAAGTGCTCTGAAGCCATCTTGTATTTAAGGATCTGCCTTTTAAGGCTCTTCTCAAAGGCCGGGGAAGATTTGTTTGCCTTTTCGAATTCAAGTGTGACTCATTTAGCCCCCTTCCAAGAAACAAAAGAGTCGATAGAGAAGGAGACCTGCCAATCTATATAGGCCTTCTAAAAGCAGCCACATTTCAGATCCAGATCGGCTAGGAACTTGGCTAAGCTATTATCAATTAATGAAATCTGGTTAGCTAAATCAAATTGCTGCCCCGGGGCCAAATCCGGCCTCCAGGTTGCCGACCCTGAGACAAAATCAACGGCTGGGATATTAGGTTCCCTTCCTCTTCCAAATCAGCGCATCGACAAATCTTTAAAAGGAGACAACTTTCTCCAACTTAAAAAACAAAAACAACCCCAAAAAGGCCATCACATGACTGACAAGGAGGGAAAGAATTGCTCAATCCAGGTGGAATTTCTCCATTCCAGACGTGCTCCACCAAGTACCTACAAGAGTCCTCTTAACGGCATTCTCCGTAGCATATAAACAAGCCGCACCCCAACGCACACTTGATCAGGTTTGACCCAAGCCCAACATGCTGGCTTTTCGATTGGAATTTTTCTTTCCAAAGCCCAGGTCTGAAAATTTAGGACTGGTTTTTTCATCCCGTCCTGCTTCTCCCACCCTGGATGGGGAGGACGTCCCACTCCTGTCCTGAGGCTTGTGGCAAAAAAAAGTCCAAACGTAAAAAGCCTTATGAAAACACGTTCAGCCTGAACATGTCCAATCTGTGCCACCCGGGCCCCTGACTTTGTCGCAAGGTCCAACGGTTCGAAGGGCAGACGCTCCCGAGTCGTCAGGCACAGAAGGGCTGGGTGAGATAATGAAATCAATATTAGCCGCTCAAAATACATTGTGTGACTGGAACGGTAACGTTGAAAAGAGCCATGCGTGGGCTGGATGTACTTCTCAGAAGAGATATCTCTGGTGCCACTTCAGAAGACGCATTTGCTCCATCCTGTGAAAGGAGACCATTTTTGGAGACCTTATCCCTTCTCTGCTTTCCCTTGCCACCTTTTTAATAAAACTGTTCCGTGGTCTACCTGTTCAAGTTTTTGTTTTTATTGTTGCATTTTCATGCATGTATTGCAATCTGTTCCATGCTGATTAGATGTTGAGGAAGGCTGGATGGGAAGAAGATGCGGGTGGTTTGAAAGGTGGAAGAAGAAACATCTATAACCTGCGTTAGGCTGATGACGCTCTTCTGGTGGCTGAAAACGCAACGGATCTGCAAGCTCTAGTAATGAAAGCCAAGGAGCACGGTGAAAAAAATGAGAAAACAATTAAATATAAAGACCACCAAACTTATAAGCGGTGTGGCAAACAGCCTTAGAATTGACAATGAAGATATTGAAGTGGTGGAGAGGTTCTCCTTTTAGGACTGACCATCAACAGTAAAGGAACCAGCAGTCAAGAAATCTATCAAGGCTAACAGTTGATAGATACACAGATGCTGGGAGGTGTCCATACCTACAAAGATCAGAATTGTGCAAGCCACAGTCTTCCCTGTGACCCTCTATGGAAGCAAAAGTTGGACTTTGATGGAGTAGGACAGGAAGTGTATTGATAGTTCTGACCTTTAATATTGGAGAAGACTCCTGAGAATTCTGTGGACAGCCAAGAAAACAAACTGATGGATCATTGAACAAATCAGCCCAGAGTTCTCCCTTGAGGCCCCGATGACCAGGCTCAAATTATATTTTGGACACACGCTGCGAAGACCTAGCTCCGTTGAAAAATCCATAATGCTGGGAAATGTAGAAGAAAAAAGAAGAGGATGATCAGCCCCAAGGTGGATGGACTCCCACCACTGGGAGACCTAAAGGACCAAGTTGGAGACAGACCTGAAGGACCAGGTTAGGAACGGATCATCATGGAGAAAATCTATCTATGTGGTCGCCAAGAGTCAACACCGAATTGTTGGGACATAATCCATCAAGTGTTCACAGTGACTTGATAGCACATTCTCAGTTGTAATCCACTTCAAGATATAGTAAATACAAAATAATACATTTCTTCCTATGTGAGAAAAGAAAATGCTTCACATTAAAAAGGGTAAGGAAGCTTCTTCTTAGAAGCAGAATTCTCACCTGCAGGAGGGCAGAAAATGCTTCTTCTTAAAGGGGGAGAGAAAGCTTCTTCTTAGAAGAGGCATCCTTTCTAGTGTAAGGAGAGAAAGTTTTCTTAAAAAGGAAGGGAAAGCTTCTTAGAAGAAGCATTCTTTCTTGCGCAGGGCTAGGAAACACTTCTTCAAAGGGGGAGAAAGCTGCTTCTTAGAAGAGGCATTTCTTCCAGTATAAGGAGATGAAACCTTAAAAAGGGGGGGGGGCTTCATCTCAGAAGAGGCATTCTCTGTTACGTAAGGAAAGCAAATGCTTCTTCCGGGAAAAGCATCTTCTTAGCACTCAAGGAAGCTAACAAGGAACTATAAATAGAAGAACAAAGGCAGAGTTGAAACAATACTCATCAAAATTAAAAATTAGAATAGCATTAAGAGATTCAAAAACACATTCAGCAGCCAATCAAATTAAATGGCAAACACCAATGGAATAAAAATGGCCTTAGATTGCTGGTGGCAGGGTAAGAAAGATGGTTTGGCCTCCCTTGGCAAGAGTC